GGGGACAGGCGGATGGACGGGGGGACAGGCGGATGGACGGGGGGGACAGCTTCATTTGACACGAAACTCAATTTTAAAATCAAATCTGCGTTTTGTTGAAAGGGATATATTAGGACATATTATAAAAGACTATTATTAATCGTAATAAATTGTCCGCGAAAATTGATAAAATACATGCGGGATTTTTCGAACCTTCGTAACGCTTGATCGGATAAAACGCGGATATGCTGCAACTTTCATGCTTAATTTTCTCAGTCATCTGGGTATGTAGTAATATAATTTTATGCAATGTAATGTGTTATATTTTCAAGGGCTTTTCAATGCAGTTATCGGTTTAAATATACCTAAAATTCCCGTTAAGATATGACAATGGACCATTTGCATTATAGACCAAATTTTGATCTAGTCAAAAATTTCATCACAGCTTGAAAGAGCATCACAAAATTAGTAATATTTCAAAGTTTCGTTTGCGAAATGTTGTAAAATGCGGATAATATAGCCTTGCGAAATTTGCAATTTTCAGTCATTTTGTATTACAAACGGGAAATTGATGCCCCAACACCCGATTGGGCTGTCAATTTCCCGTGCGTAATACAAAATGACTGAAAAACGGCAAACTTTGCAAGGTTATATTATCAACATTTTACAACATTTCGCAACGAAACTTTGGAATATTACTAATTTTGTGATGCTCTAGCTTTCGAGCTGTGATGAAAGTTTTGTCTAGATCAAAATTTAGTGTATAATGCAAATGGTCCATTGCCGTACGGCCTACTTTTACGCAAACGAAAATTACAACTGCAAATTTCAAGCTTAATTTTCTCTGTTATATTATCTGGGCATGTAGTAATGTATATTTTATGCCAATGTAAGGGGCTATTTTTCAAGGGCTTTTCGATGCAGTTATTGGTTTAAATATAACTCAAATTCCCGTTAAGATATGACAATTGCCGTACGGACTACTTTTACGCAAACGCAAATTACAACTGCAAATTTCATCAGCACATTACATTGGCATAAAATTACATTACTACATGCCCGGATATTAACAGAGAAAATTAAGCATGAAAGTGGCAATTGTAGCTAATTTTCGCTTGCGTAAAAGTAGGCCGTAAGGCAATTGTCATATCTTAACGGGAATTTTAGGTATATTTAAACCGATAACTGCATTGAAAAGCCCTTGAAAATATAACACATTACATTGCATAAAATTAGATTACTACATACCCAGATGACTGAGAAAATTAAGCATGAAAGTTGCAGCATATCCGCGTTTTATCCGATCAAGCGTTACGAAGGTTCGAAAAACCCCGCATTTCCACATGTATTTTATCAACTTTTGGCGGACAATTTATTACGATTAATAATAGTCTTTTATAATATATCCTAATATATCCCTTTCAACAAAACGCGGATTTGATTTTAAAATTGAGTTTCGTGTCAAATGAAGCTGTTTCCCCGTCCATCCGCCTGTCCCCCCGTCCATCCGCCTGTCCCCCCCCGTCCATCCACCTGTTCCCCCCGTCCATCCGCCTCTTCCCCCGTCCATCCACCTGTCCCCCCCGTCTATCCGCCTCTTCCCCCGTCCATCCGCCTGTCCCCCCCGTCCGTCCGTCCGTATCCGCATTTTTCAATTTTCCTGTAATTTACATTTTCGGTCGTTTCGTTTCGGTCGTTTCGTTTCGGTTGTTTCGTTTCGGTCGTTTCGTTTCGGTCGTTTCGTTTCGGTCGTTTCGATGGTTTCGATAGTTTCGGCCGTTTCGTTTCGGTCGTTTCGTTTCGACGTTTCGCCTTTTAGTACATGCCCTCATTAGGCTAGCTGCCTTTAGTTGCCTAGTTGTTCGAACTGTTCGGTGTATAGCCATATGTGTATAGCAGATCGACAGAGACGAATATCGCATCAAAAATTGAGAAAATTATCGAATGTGGCAAACAATTTTCCTCAGCCTAGAACGAGGTAAAAAGAAAGCGAACCAGTGTTGGATTCCTTGATGATATTTGTGGAAGAACAATTTTAATAATACAATTTATATTGTATTTAACGAGAGGCCCCATTGTCGTTGCCCTCGAAAACGTATGGTCGAAAGATGTTCAACACATAAATAAAAACACTGGAAATGGTTAGTAAGCTCATTTACGTTTTAAAATTTGACATAATTTCGGTTAATACTGCCTTTAATCATAATGATTTGCCTGCAGTGTGTCCATATGTCACGATGTGTTTTGTATATGTTTTATAATAATATGTATTAAACTATTTGTAAAGTGATATTCCTATACTGGCTATACTATATACTGCATATAATAGTTGTGTGGTTACTGGTGATACCGATTAATACGTGATATTATATTATAAACTATATGCAAAAGATAGCAGTATGCCGATGTCACCAGACCAGTGATTTCACAACACAAACCTCTATACCCGTCGCGTTTTAGGGGTGGCGTATTTCTGTTGGGAGTTTTGTTGGGCAAACAAGCCCAACGGAAGTGCCGTGATTCATTCCTTATGAAGAATGGTCATTGAACTGCGCATGCGCTGAAGGTTATGGATGTTTGGTTGTCATACTGGTTTCTAAATGCGGCTTTTTTTTTTGTCAGGGGAATTTGTTCCTCTCATTCTCTCAATGAAATAGCATTTCTGGAGTTGCGACAAACAAAACCAACTCCAACACGTCAAACAAATCCAACAAGTCAAACAAAACCAACAAGTCCAACAAACCCAACAAGTCCAACAAGTCAAACAAACCCAACAAATCCAACAAGTCAAACAAGTCAAACAAAACCAACAAGTCAAACAAAACCAACAAGTCCAACAAAGCCAACAAGCCAAACAATCCAACAAGTCAAACAAAACCAACAAGTCCAACAAACCCAACAAGTCAAACAAATCCAACAAGTCAAACAAGTCAAACAAAACCAACAAGTCAAACAAAACCAACAAGTCAAACAAAACCAACAAAGCCAACAAGCCAAACAAATCCAACAAGTCAAACAAAACCAACAAGTCCAACAAACCCAACAAGTCAAACAAAACCAACAAGTCCAACAAACCCAACAAGTCAAACAAATCCAACAAGTCAAACAAGTCAAACAAAACCAACAGTCAAACAAAACCAACAAGTCAAACAAAACCAACAAGTCCAACAAAGCCAACAAGCCAAACAAATCCAACAAGTCAAACAAAACCAACAAGTCCAACAAACCCAACAAGTCAAACAAATCCAACAAGTCAAACAAGTCAAACAAAACCAACAAGTCAAACAAAACCAACAAGTCAAACAAAACCAACAAAGCCAACAAGCCAAACAAATCCAACAAGTCAAACAAAACCAACAAGTCCAACAAACCCAACAAGTCAAACAAAACCAACAAGTCCAACAAACCCAACAAGTCAAACAAATCCAACAAGTCAAACAAGTCAAACAAAACCAACAGTCAAACAAAACCAACAAGTCAAACAAAACCAACAAGTCTAACAAAGCCAACAAGCCAAACAAATCCAACAAGTCAAACAAAACCAACAAGTCCAACAAACCCAACAAGTCAAACAAATCCAACAAGTCAAACAAGTCAAACAAAACCAACAAGTCAAACAAAACCAACAAGTCAAACAAACCCAACAAGACAAACAAAACCAACAAAGCCAACAAGCCAAACAATCCAACAAGTCAAACAAACCCAACAAGTCCAACAAACCCAACAAGTCAAACAAATCCAACAAACCCAACAAGCCAAACAATCCAACAAGTCAAACAAACCCAACAAGTCCAACACACCCAACAAGTCCAACAAACCCAACAAGTAAAACAAATCCAACAAGTCAAACAAAACCAACAAACCCAACAAGTCCAACAAAACCAACAAGTCAAACAAAACCAACAAGTCCAACAAACCCAACAAGTCCAACAAGCCAAACAATCCAACGAGTCAAACAAAACCAACAATCCAACAAGTCAAACAAAACCAACAAGTCAAACAAACCCAACAAGACAAACAAAACCAACAAATCCAACAAGCCAAACAATCCAACAAGTCAAACAAAATCAACAAACCCAACAAGTCAAACAAACCCAACAAGTCCAACAAACCCAACAAGCCAAACAATCCAACAAGTCAAACAAAACCAACAAACCCAACAAGTCCAACAAACCCAACAAGTCAAACAAAACCAACAAGACAAACAAAACCAACAAACCCAACGAGTCCAACATTCCAACAAACAAAACTCGTACTGACGGATTGTGGAAGTTATTAATCTTTCGTGCTCAGTCTACTGTAGCTGTGACCCCTCATGTTTGAAAAACGACAAATTTTCCAACATGGATTTTTGCATTTACCTGTTTGTATTAACATGCACTATTATATTTTACAAAAAGAAAAGGGAATGTAAGTATAATATAAAAGGGAGTAATTAATATGGACATCTTTGGAACTCATGTGAGATGCTGCGTGCAGGAAGAAGGTATGACGATATAAATATATTTTTTTATTGAAACGTGCGTCTTCGTATGAATAATTCATTCGTTTTAGCCGCCATTGTTGTGTTTAATTAAATGCCGTTTTATGATTGCCGGTTAGGTTTTCATTCTGGATTTTAACAGTCAGTCTAGATATAGCGACAATATAAATAGCTAGGGCACTTGCGGATCGAGAGAGATAAAACTACCTGAAAAAATACAAGCAGAACTTCGGTTACTTCGACGTTGGTTCTAGCCACGCCTTTGTATTAAATACAGTATTGTACTGTAGTACGTATTATAAATACATCGACACCGTAGCAATACTACGTATAATAAAATTAAAATGAAGCACATATAATTTCTATTATCATCCAATATTCCAATATGAATATAAACAAGTACAACTATTTGATTTAACTAATATGTATAACAAATATGAACAAAACAGTATAAATATTTGATATTATTAACCCATCAAACCATGTTAGTTCATTTTACTCTGCCTTTCACTCGTCAGGAATAAAGTGTTGGCTTTATATTTCAACACAAATGTTAGACAGGCACAGCAATGCACATAGCAGCTTATTGGGTTAATATTATGATAAAATATTGAATAATACATGTATACTTATCACAAATCAAACTCAGTAGTTCATTTATAATGTTTCTAAAACAAGCAATGTTTAATAATGTTTTTGTGACCTTATTTTATTCCTCTTCCCTTCCACTTTCTCACGTTCGGAGAGTGCATCGATCAACGCATCTGCTGAGCCTTTTCTCTTTCTTGTTTTACTCAATGTTGGTTGAGCACTGTTTGTGGACAATTCAGGGGGCGAAACTTCTGGTTGAGCAGTGTTTGTAGGCATTTCAGGAGACGCAAGTACTGGTTGAGCACTGTTTGTTGGTAATTCAGATGATATGACTAATGGTTGAGCACTATTTGTCAATAATTCAGGGGACGCGAGTACTGATTGAGCACTGTTGGTGGATAATTCAACAGATGATGCAACTACTGATTGAGCACTGTTTATGGATAATTTAGGGGACACGATTACTGGTCGAGCACTGTTTGTGAGCAGTTCAGATGGTGTAACTACTGGTTGAGCAGTGTTTGTCGATAATTCAGAGGACGCAAGTACTGGTCGAGCACTGTTTGATGATAAATCAGAGGACACAAGTACTGATTGAGTGCTGCTGGTGGATAGTCCAGGGGACGCAAGTACTGGTTGAACAATGTTTGTGGATAATTCAGACGATGTGACTAACGGTTGAGTGCTGCTGGTGGATAATTGAAAGGGTGAGGTGAGTGTCGTTTGAACCTTTGTCATCACCGTTTCATTCAATATCAACTCATCTAAAAGACAAATATACATTCATTATATATTATATTATTATATATATATATATTCATTATATATATAATATATAATATATATTATATATATATTATATATATATATTATATATATATATTATATATATATTATATATATATATATATATATATATATATATATATATATATATATATATATATATATATATATATATATGTATGT